AGGCCTAGGGACTTACCCACACACGAATTTCGTGCGCTGGACCTCTAGTATTAATATATATTGTCAACAGTGGTTATCTCAAAGTGCAGTGGGGAGCAGGATAGATTTTCACTTTGTACCTGATACCTTTTTGTCTCACTACAACATCTTAAATGATGGCTGAAAAAATTTTTTTGTTTTATCAGAGGCACAAGCAGTACTTTCAGGATTAATACGCACTTTAATAGAGTCTTTGAATCAACTTCAAGAAATAAATCCTATAAATATAAACACTTTCCTATGTAGAGTTTATATTAATCTAAACCAGAAAAATTGAGATTATTAACATTTCTGAGATGATGAGACAATATTAAGTCATTTCCTTCAAATAACATCAAAAACAAGTCTATTAAGTTTTATCTGTGTCGTTTATTCAGGCAGTGCATCTCACAGTGGTTTTGTGGTTTGGTAAAGAAATAGGTACAGAAATTTATTTGTGAAATGAAACAAAAACTTTAAGTTGTGCCTTATAAAGAGGCAAAATGTGCTTATCTCTGAGCACCAGGATTATGGATTATTATGATTATTTCCGTTGCTTATTTTCTTTCTGTTTTCCAAATTATTGATAATAATTATAAGCTACTTTCGCAATCAGAAAGAGATCTTACAATTGTAACATTAAAGTTAGATGTCTATAAATTTAACACCGTATACCTGACCTAGGTTAATCTGCTCCCACTTTCTATATGACATCAAGTACTTCTCTTTTTCTCAGTGACTGAAGTTTGCAGACTTCACGCCTGGGACCAAATGATTTGTACTGTGATCACACTAGTTCCCACCTCTCTCTCTGCAAAATGATGAGGTGAAGTCCATCGAGTACACCCTAACAAGCAACATTTTAAAGGTTGTTACTAAATTGACTATGCGGGCTTTTCATCAGAACTGCAGAACCACAAAAAGGTCAAAGCACAGAGAAGCTGACTGTTAGAAAAGCTCCAGCTTCTTCCACCTTCTGTTAGCCACAATCACATGGTAAGCAGCACATATTTTTAGGTTACACCAAGAACGCTTGAAACTGCAGCTCTAGTGAGAAAGGGGGAGAGATTCTTCAAGACATTTGAAGCTTTTATGCAGAGTTTCAGATCCTTGGAAGAAAGTTACTAAATACTGCATGACATGCACATTGCACAGCAGCGCATCATAATTATAGTGTGCTTTCAACCCTCTGAAGCCTTCCTGCGTTTTCTGGTTTCTGCATCTAAGCCTTGTAAATTATTTCTGACTCATTAGCTTTTCTCCCTACGGGCAACTCACATGCTCCGTAAACGTGTGCGTATTTTTCTTAAATCTCTCTTCTCGAAAATGCATTCATTTGCTTTTTAGTTTCAGAATGTAGATTCCCACAGTGAAAAGCAATTAAATAACACTTGCCTCCCTCTCTTATATCCTCCTTTCTCTAAAAAATGTCATTTACAATTAAAAGCACATATCTGAAGACCAATTCTTTATTACAACTGGGGACCTTAAGCTGAGGAGGGCGTTAGGGAGTGGGGGGCAGGATGGTATAAACACTACTAGGCCAGAGCGCCCCAACTTTGGCCCCACTGACACTTTGGGGTGGTGATTTTTTATGGTGAAGGGCTGTCCTGGGCACTGTAGCATATTCAACAATATCGCTGGCCTCCACCCACGGGTGCCATAGTGCAGAGCTCCAGTTCCCCCGATGTGACCACGAAAGGTTCAAGATATTGCCAAATATCTCCTAGAACAAAATGGACCCCGACTGAGAGTCACTGCACTAGGCCAAAGATCTTACAAAACCAAGCTCTCTGTGTTTTTGCCAATCCAAATTGTCCCTTTGACCCCATGGTCAACCTCTGACTACCTAGCCACCCACCAACATGAAATACAGACACTCATAAATACCCTCACACTCTTCAGGCTGAAGCCCTCGAACGCTGTCTACAGTCCGTCCTCTGAACCCCATGTGGCCAATTCAGGACTTAGGAGAGAAGCAGGTACCTTTGCACGCTGCACTGACATGAGTGTTCCTGCTTGTCACTTTTAATGTATCCTGACTTCTGAAGCTCTAAGATACACCCCTCCCCCGTTTCTCTGTCCACCAGCTACACTCTAAAACCCCATGCTCCCCCATGAATATTGTTTCAAGCATACTTTCATTTATTCGGTCTGGCATTTGATTTTGCACTTAAATATACAATTATGTTCCAGTCTTAACATATTTATTTCCTGAAATTATCTTAGTTTAGAGCCTATTGATTAAACTGGGGAGGGAAGGTTATAGCATTTAAAAAATAAACAAACCAAAAAGTCCCCTACTTCCCCTAATTCACAACAAAACAACACATATTAGCTCCTCTGAGTCTTTTATGCTTCTTTTTTTAAAAAAAAAAAAATATTTTATTGATTTTTTACAGAGAGGAAGGGAGAGGGATAGAGAGCTAGAAACATTGATGAGAGAGAAACATCGATCAGCTGCCTCCTGCACACCCCGTGCTGGGGATGTGCCCGCAACCATGGTACATGCCCCCAACTGGAATCGAACCCGGGACCCTTCAGTCCACAGGCCGAGGCTCCATCCACTGAGCCAAACCAGTCAGGGCTGCTTCTTTTTTAAAAAATATATATTTTATTGATTTTTTACAGAGAGGAAGGGAGATGGACAGAGAGTTAGAAACATCAATGAGAGAGAAACATCAATCAGCTGCCTCCTGCACATCCCCCACTGGGGATGTGCCCGCAACCAAGGCACATGCCCCTGACCGGAATCGAACCTGGGACCCCTCAGTCCCCAGGCTGACGCTCCATCCACTAAGCCAAACCGGTCAGGGCAGGGCTGCTTCTTAATATATTTGAGGAATGTTTACTCTCGCTATTCCAGGTTATCTGGTGTTCGAAGCACCAACAAAAATGGGCAGAGGGAATGATTTCCTTCAAGGGAGGAACATAACTAATGAATTCTCTTCCATGGAAAACTGAAAAGTGGATCTGCCATTACTAGATTCATAACCTCGAGTTAAGCAGCTTAGTGTCTGCTGGCCTATTTTGTCTTTGGTAAAACGAGAATGATGATCCCTACCCTCGGCGGCATATTGAATGAAATAATTGTTTTAAGCTCTGAGCCTTGTGCCTGACATGCAGGTGTTTCCTAAGTGTCATTTTCTATGCCGCTTCTCTCTGTTCCCAGCACTGGCTAAATAATTTGTGAGGTCCAGTGCAAAACGGAAACGCGGGCTCCCTTTTTCAAATATTAACAATTTCAAGACGACTTGGTATTAAACCAAGTGTGGGGCCTGCCTCAGCATGGGGCTCTGTGTTCCTGCTCAGGTTGCACACTCATCAAGCCGGCCCTGCTCCCTCCCCTCGGGTTTTCAAGGTTCTACTTGTCTATTATTCTACTAAGTGAAAAGCCACCCTTCAATTTGACACTTGACAGGGAAATAAATGAAACTAACGAAAGAGGGCTTTATTACGTGTGTTGTTTTTTTCATGCTGACTCACTTTTTCTGAAGTTGAGTGTAGGAAGCGTAGGACTCTTATAAAGGGGCAGTTTTAATCTGCCATGGTATTTCCATGGTTTGGGTCATTCTCGACATGGAGGAATTAAGAAAAAAAAACCACTCTGTTTTCTACAAGTCATTGGACCCTTGAAAATAGCCCAAGGAGCACTTAGTGGCCAAGGAGGCGCTTAATTCAAAAGCTCTTTACCTGGACTTATCAAACAGCGTTCACACAAAAAATCAACAGGGTTTTACATCAGTCTCTTAGATCCTACAATGGAGACCTTCAGGGAACTGGTCCAGATGTCTAAGAGGAAGACTTGGTCTCCGAACCACTGAGTCGGGCTCTGCCTGTTATTTCTTCTCCTTTATGAATTCATCAACATGTCCTTTAAAGGTGTTCTTAAAGGTTCTCACATCCTATTTTGTAAGAGCAGATCCTGTGAAAAGAACAATGTGTTTGAATGTATGTATATATGTACACACACACACACACACACACACAGAAATTTCCAAATTTCCTGTTGGAAGAAACGCACACATACACAGGCACACAAGACCTCTTAACAGAAGGCAGGTGATATACATGGGAATATTAAGATATATGTTAGTTTTCATTTAATCTTGGGATTTTATTTGTAATAATTTTGAAAATCTCACCCAAGGATATGTTTAATGATTTTAGAGAGGAGAGAGAAAGAGAGAGAGAGAAAGAGAGAGAGAGAGAGAGAGAGAGAGAGAGAGTGACATCGATGTGGGAGAGAACCATGATCGGTTGCCCCCCAGGAGGATGGAACCCGAGATCTAGGCAGGTGCCTTGGCCAGGAATGGAACCGGAACCTCTTGGTGCAGGGGAAGATGCTCCAACCAAGTGAGCCGCGGGCCAGGGCAGGACTTTTATTTCTTTACAGCAGATAAACTGAGGCTCAGAGTAGTTACATAACCTGTCCAAAGGCACCCAACAAGTTGATGGGTCTGGATTAGAGATTTTATCTGACTCATGTATTAAAAATTCTATTCAGTTTAGATTTTTTAAAATTCAGGGGTCCAATCTGGTACAGTCTCTTTGAATCAAACAACAAACAAAACGTAATAAACTTTAACATACTTGCTAATCATATTCGTTTATATGGCCGCCTTGCTCTTGCCATCATTTTCCCCCTTTTCCCCACCCCCATCACCATAAATCCTTAAGTGTCTATATCAGTGGTTCTCAACCTTCCCAATGCCGCGACCCTTTAATACAGTTCCTCATGTTGTGGTGACCCCCAACCATAAAATTATTTTCGTTGCTACTTCATAACTGTAATTTTGCTACTGTTATGAATCATCATGTAAGTATCTGATATGCAGGATGTATTTCCATTGTTACAAACTGAACATAATGAAAGCATAGTAATTAATCACAAAAACAATATGTAATTATGTATGTGTTTTCCGATGGTTTTAGGCGATCCCTGTGAAAGAGTCGTTGGACCCCCAAAGGGGTCGGGACCCACAGGTTGAGAACCGCTGGCCTATATGGTAGCGATGCTCCTAACAATGGACCCGCAGAACCAGCCGGCCTCTGGGTGAAGATAACGGCACTAACATCCATGACCTCAAGAAAAAAATGAGCAGTTTGCATGGCAACCCCTCCCTTCCGGCCTCGAGGGGGCGGTAGGAAACCTCCGCACGTGGATCCACACGATTCCCACACCGCGCGTCCATCCGGGCAACTGGCCAGTCGGCCCAGACTACGCAGGCGCCAGGGCTGCGGCGGCTGGGGGCGGGACCCCGGTTTCCCTAGAGACCGGGCGGAAGCGGCCGGAAGCTGCGCTACGATTGGCCGCCGCGGGAGGGAGAGCTGGGGGCGGGGCCCGAGGCGGAAGGCGCCCGCGACGAGGAAGAGGACGCGGCTCCGGCCATGGAAGGCGCGGAGGCGGGGGTGTCGGTCGGCTCGCCGGGTGCGCCCGGGCCCGAGGAGCAGGGCGGGGCGGGCGGACGCCCGGGGCGGTGGCGGCGGCCGTTGGGGTGTGACCGTCCCGCCCCGCGTGGCTCCTGGCGCTGCCACGAGGGCAGCTGCCTGCTGCCTGGTGTTTTGAGACCCGAGAGGGGTGGCTTCACGTCGTAGACGCTGAGGGTGTGTTGGTAGGGTCCCCGTGAAACCCCCTGAGAGCCGAGGGGGCTCCCGGGCGGCTGGGAGTGGCAAGAGGGGGACCCTGTCCCCCAGTCGTCGGGGCTGGGGTCCTGGAAGGAGGGGCTGGGCTGGGAACCAAGCACGAGGCACGTGTGCGGTGGCCGCCTCTCTGATGACCCACGTCCAGCCTCGGATCTACCTGGCATCGCCCAACCCCGGGCTCTCCTTCCTGCCCTTTTATTTTTTTAAATTAAACTTTAAAATTTTGGAATGATTTTAGATTTGCAGAGGTTGGAGAAATAGTTTTCCCTAATGTTACTATCTTACCTCGCCATGGGTACATGTGTCAAAACTAAGACATTCATATTGGCATAATACTCTTCACTGAAGTACAAGCTTTGTTTACATGTTACCAGGTTTTCTCTCACTATAATTTTTTTTTTTCTGTCCCAGGATCCAAACCAGATATCACATCGCCTTTAACCTGCCTTATTTTTCACCTGATGTTAACAGCTGGCGTCTCATCTTACCCGTGTCTCCATCTCCACCTCCCCGTTCCCCCATGACATTGGCTATTTTTTTTTTAAATCCAAGAGATATTTACGCATTCTTTCAATTTAGCGAGCGTTTATTGGTCTTCTGTTATAGGCCAGGCACCGGCGATTCAGCACTGAATCTCAGTCCTTCTCTTACGGGAGCCAAAGATAGCCCACTGGACCGCATGCATGGTCTAATGCAGTTTTGTGTTTCTGATTTTTTTTTTTTTTTTTTAATGTAAGGACATGCCACTTACATAATTTTTAAGTTGGTTGAAATCAGTGTTTAAACTTTCCTTCCCCTTCCGATTTACCCTGAATTTTACTATCAACTCCCAAGTGAGAGGATTACCTCTTGCATCTTCCATTATTAATCAAGTTTCTACACCCCTCCCCCTAAAAATTATTACTTCTTGAGAAAAACACAGTGCACACAGAAATGCTAAGTAAACAGGGCTGCAGACCCTACTGTAGATGGAGTTGCTCTCATGTCTGTGATTTTTAGATGTTTTGACAGATGTAATAAATCCCGGAAAGGACTTTTAAAATCACTCTGCATCCTTTTTTTCCCCCTCAGTCACCAGTTTGTGAGGAACTGCCAGTTGCCCAGAGATGATAAGCAGCCTGAATATTATGTTTGTGTTTTTTTTTGCTTTTGTTTGATCAGTTCATGATAGGGCGGTGCCAGCAGGAAGTCCTTCCTCCAGAGTCATAGTACACGTGGACCTGGACTGCTTTTATGCACAAGTAGAAATGATCTCAAATCCGGAACTAAAGGGCAAACCCTTAGGTAATGATGCGTGTCGATAATGTTCTCATTGTCTAAGAGGATTAGCACTGGTTTATTACGTTTATTGTATTCTGATTTATTAACCACATTAGAAAGATTGGGAAGCAGTTCTTAAGGTGCTTCACTACCAGGTGTAGACTTTATAAGCCTCATTTAACAAATGGTGAATTTGACACAGTCATTTTATTTTCTACATATTTGTGTTTACCATGTTTTAGATGAACATTGTTTTTACGGTGGTAAACACGTAGTCAATTTTCGTAAAAGAAAAAGTAGAGCCGAAACCGGTTTGGCTCAGTGGATAGAGCGTCGGCCTGCGGACTGAAAGGTCCCAGGTTCGATTCCGGTCAAGGGCATGTACCTGGGTTGTGGGCATATCCCCAGTGGGAGATGTGTAGTAGGCAGCTGATCGATGTTTCTCTCTCATCGATGTTTCTAACTCTCTATCTCTCTCCCTTCCTCTCTGTAAAAAATCAATAAAATATATTAAAAAAAAAAAGAAAAGAAAAAGTAGAGTTTTAGCAACCTTAAGCCACTAAGATTCAGTAAACTAGAATTTCTGTACGTGCTGTAGATCATGATTTAATCACTTTTGATAAGGAGGGGGCTCAGAATGCCCCCTCACTGTGGAATCTTTTCTGTAGGTGGCTAGCAAGAATAGTTGAATAATTAGAACATGTATTGGGGGAGATCCCTGATAATTGCTGTAAGTTGGCACTTGTTAACAGAATTTTGCTTTATATTCATTGGACAGTTACTCAGAAAAGTGAGTTTTTCTAGCAGCCACCAGTAATTGTACTGTTATTTTTCATCTGCTTTATTTTTTAGTAAATCATGGTCTAGAGTTGTATAGAGTTAATTCAGTATAAATTATTCTGGTTTTGTATTGCCTGAAAAAAATTCCGTACTGACTTTATTTGTATTTTTTGCTGAAGACTCCATAGAATGTATTCATGTGTGGTAAATTTCTGTTAAATTTTACTTATAGAACGTTGATGAATGGATGCTGTATTTTTAAACCAAGATAACGGCTTTTTATTTTAAATATATTTTTACTGATTTGAGAAAGGAAGCGTAGGGAGAGAGAATGAAACATCGAGAGAGAAACATCGATTGGCTGCCTCCTGCACACCCCCATTGGGGATCGAGCCTGCAAATTGGGCGTGTGCCCTGACCAGGAATCGAACTGCTACCTGGTTCATCAGTTGATGCTTAACCACTGAGCCACACCGGCTGGGGTAGAGCTTTTTATTTTTAGCAGAACAATTGCCTCGCAAATTACAATTATAAGATGGAATTAGTAAATTATATTTGAAGATTTTTTTTTTAATTCTCTGTTTTCTCATAAATATTTATTTTTATAGGTGTTCAGCAGAAATATTTGGTGGTTACCTGCAACTATGAAGCTAGGGAACTTGGAGTAAAGAAACTTATGAATGTAAGAGATGCAAAAGAAAAGTGTCCACAGCTGGTGTTAGTTAATGGAGAAGACTTGACGCGTTACAGAGAGATATCATACAAGGTTACAGGTACAGATTATAGGCAGTATTATTTTAACATTAATTTTTACAATGGAGGCCTGTTCATTACATGAATCTTCTATAATAATAAAAGGGTAATATGCAAATCGACCAAACGGCTGAACAGCGGAACAACTGTCTAGAAGCCAGGGCTGTGAGGGCCGAGGCAGCCAGGGGTGTGAAGGCCTACTCTTGCACAAATTTCGTGCATCGGGCCTCTAGTCTTTTAATAAGTGTAAATTGCCAAAGTTATTTTTGCTAATAACTTTATTTTAGGTCTTGCCCACTTTTTGAAATATTTATGAGGATGACTATATAAATAATGTTGACAAAAAATATAAAGTTAAAAGAAGTTTGAAATCTTTCATGAATGGTGTCATGTAAATATAAGAAATGTAAAACAGTATTTAACAGTGAAGAAATAGGAAGATATTCTAAAGAAAGCCAAATATTTTAATTTAAAAACATATTTCTATTGATTTCAGAGAGGGAGAGATAGAAACATCAATAATGAGAATCATTGATTGGCTGCCTCCTGCACACCTCCTACTGGGGATCCAGCCACAACCCGGGCATGTGCCCAGACTGGGAATTGAACCGTGACCTCCTGATTCATAGGTCAACACACAACCCCTGAGCCACTTGCAGCCAGGACCAAATATTTTAATTTTTAATTTAAATTAATTATGAGAGATATGCTATAGGTTAATGCATTAATGTTAATTGGGAGAGGCTTCTGTAATTATTAACATAATTAAAAACTAGCTTTATATTTATTTATATTTTTGCTCCTGTTTGTGTTTGTTTGTTTAGTATTTGTAGCAGTTTTCAGATGAAATGGTTAAATATGATAACTAAAAGTGCTAAGAAGCCCTAACCAGTTTGGCTCAGTGGATAGAGCGTCGGCCTACAGACAGAAAGATCCCAGGTTCAATTCCGGTCAAGGGCATGTACCTTGGTTTCAGGCACATCTCCAGTACGAGGCTGATCGATGTTTCTATCTCATCGATGTTTCTAACTCTCTATCTCTCTCCCTTTCTCTCTGTAAAAAAATCAATAAAATATATATTTAAATAAATAAATAAAAGTGCTAACAAACTAACAAAAATGCTCAAGAAAATTGACAAAAAATGTGAATAGCCAACTGACAAAAAGGGCAAATATATGTCCAATAATTACCTGGAAAAAAGGAATGCTCAAATTCATTATTGGCTACAGAAATTTGAATTAGTAAGATAATGATTTTATATCCATCATACTTGCAAAAAAAAAAAGAACGTGAGAAAAAGTAGAAACAAGGTATTACGGCCTTTATGAAAAAGCAATATAGAAAATTAAAGTTACATATTATATTCTTTAACCCAGTGATATAATCAACAAAATGTATTTTTTAAAAAAGAAAAAGAATGCATGGTGCTGTATGTTTGACTCATAAATACATACCTTGTTGAGTGAGCAAAAGTTAGGATGCAAAACGTGTATAACACTCATTTGTATAAATAATAGCACAAACCCCTCCCCCACATATGTTTGTACACATGTATTTGTGAACAGGAAGATAAATATGAGAGGGTATATACTAAGTTTCTTTTTAACTTTTTAACACATTTCGTCCGCTCAGGAGTTTTCTCGTGTTTCGCGCGCCATCTGTTAAGGACCGCTCACGAGTGTTCTCGTTTTTCACGCCCATGGAAAAAGGAGCGAATCTAGATACTTATGTAAATTTTGTTTGGTCCCTCTTCATAGAGGAAAATGTTTTACACAGTACTATACGTTAAAAAAGTACTAGGAACTTTAATTGTTTTTGTAAATAAAAATGTTATAATTATTGAAAAGCAACACCTAAAGTGCATTATGATGATTTAAATAACGTGCAGTTTGCCCAAAAACGTGCGGTCCCTGGCGTATGTCTTAGAGATTTCTATGCGGTACACAATGTGTTAAAAATATACATATTTTTATTGATTTCAGAGAGGAAGGGAGAGGGAGAGAGAGAGAAATATCAGTGATGGGAGAGAATCATTGATTGACTGCCTCCTGCATGCCCCCCCTACTGGGGATTGAGCCCGCAACTCCGGGCATGTGCCCTTGACTGGAATTGAACCCAGGACCCTTCAGTCAGCAGGCCAGTGCTCTATCCACTGAGCCAAACCAGCTAGGACTAAGTTTTTAATAGTTACCTTCTGGAGTGGAAGAAGCAGTGCTAAAATGAGAGGAAGGGGGAAGGAAAGACAGCCATGCAGAAAAGACAAGACTATATTCCCCAAGTAGCACTTGTGCATCTATACAAAATTGTGTGTCTGAATATTAAGAAGTTGATTTTTAGTATATACAGAAGAAATTGTAAGATACAGAGAGTTGTGCATCTTGCCTTTGTTCTTGGTGATCTTTCATGCTGTTCATATAGCTCCTCCTCACTCTTTTTAATGACTGCAGTATTCCATTGAATTTGGTTTCATATTATTTAACCAGTCCTCTAGTGATCTGAAGACAATATATCCCACTTTATGGCTAATGTCGCTGCATAATTATTAATAGCAGCTCTTTGTATTAAAAATGTCTTGTTCTTGCCCTAGCCAGTTTGGCTCAGTGGATAGAGGGTTGGCCTGCAGAATGAAGGGTCCCGGGTTCAATTCCAGTTGGGGGCACATGCCCGGGTGCAGGCTCGATATCCAGTAGGGGGCGTGCAGGAGGCAGCCGATTAATGATTCTCATCATTGATGTTTCAATTTCCCTCTCCCTCTCACCCTCTCTGAAATCAATAAAAAGATATATATTTTTTAAAAGTCTTGTTCTGAATGATCAATTTTATGGTTTTCCTAACAGTGATGGATTATTAAGCTGTTACCAACTTTTTGCTCTTACTAATATATGCTTCAGTAGACATTTTCATATGGAAATTTTGGCATAATTTTATGGGGTATCTATAAGGTAAGAGTGAATTCAGTGCTAGGTCAGAGGTAATTTCCATTTAAAATTTTGAATACTGCTATATGTTGCACATGAGTTTGTCCCAACATATTATTAGTAGGTATGAGAGTGTTAGATATTCTTAAATTGTAAAGATTTACCTCAGAGATGAAAAAAATAGTAAATGTTTTCTGCTATCCAGCTGGTATCAATAGATAATACAGAGAGAAATGAAATTTCTTCTCAGTGATTTCTAAATTGTTATTAATCTTAATCCTAAAAATGAGAATTGATCATCCTTTTGAATTTATATTAAATCTTGGTTCAGTTCAGTTTAGTAAACATTTGACTTAAGGACTAGGTTTTTTCTAGGTGCTAGACATTCAAATACATGTAAATCATGGTCCATCTCTGCTCTTAAGGAATAAGTTGGGGAATGGCTAATTAAAATGTTGAATTGTGGTGTATTTGGAAAATCAAGTGAGTTTTCTTTTGGTCTCAGTAATAATTGGAAATTATAATTTTTTATTTTGTCTTTAGAAATTCCTGTGGAAAATATAGCTAGAATATATTATTGTTTTTGCTTTTCTAGGCAGACTATAATTTATTCTTTGACCCACTGCTTCAAGATCATAATTGATTATAGCCATTGATGTTTAATGTAGAATATAGTAACTGTAAGTATAGGAAATTGCACTAAATCTGCTATGAGTATCTGCCCAGGGAATATCATTTTTGGACTTATTTGAGGTAAGCATAAAATAGATAAATTTACTATAGTTATAACTTGTTACATCTGCGTTCCAATATTATTTAAATTTAGAGTTGTTGGAAGAATTTAGTCCAGTTGTTGAGAGACTTGGATTTGATGAAAATTTTGTGGATCTATCAGAAATGGTTGAGAAGAGACTACAGCAGCTTCCAAGTGATGACCTTTCAGCGCTGACTGTGTCGGGTCATGTATACAATAATCAGTGTAAGTGGTTTCTTATTTATCCTATTTAGTATTTTGTTTTTTGTATTTTTTATAGTTGATACTATTATAGATGTCCCCATCCCCCCCCCCCTTTGCCTACCTCCGTCCATCCCTCAGCCCCTCCCACCCTCTGGCCATCACCTTATTGTTGTCTGTGTCTGTGGGTTATGCCTGTATGTTCTTCTGCTTAGTATTCTGTGAGTTAAGTTAACTGACTTTCTGAAAATGTTATGGCTTTTGTTGGAGGTATAGCCATATTTCAGTAATCTAAGATGGCTAAAATTAGGTGTTGCTCCTGTAGCTCAATGCTCTGTGCACTTTTCATTTCTCTGACATGGTCCATGCGTTATCATTTTTAACTTTCATACCTCTTAAGTTACAGGAGTTGGCTTGATAATATACTTTTAGAATAACTTTTTATTCTCTTAAAACGATCTTTAAGCAAGATTTTGAGGTAGACCAAATAAATTTGATATTGTCCCCTCTTGCTTCTAGTCCCCCAAGGCACCAAAACCCTCATGTTGTCCCTTGAGCTAACCCTTGTGGAAGGTCGTCCAGGCCTACCTGCCATCTTTTGCAAGCTCCTAGTTCATTAGTTCAGATAACCTTTGCCAACTGTTAGCATGAAAGCAGGATGGTTCATTTCCTTCTCAGATTAACGTATAAATGGCTGATGGTATTTTTAGGGACATTTGCATTTGAAAATCAGCTGCAATATCTCTAGTGACTATTTAATTAGACTTTGAAACATATGCAATTCTGCTGGTGACTTCCACATTACACCAGTGGAAGACAAGCTACTCTGCTTTGTGTAAGACTTGCCCTGGTAAGAAACCATCTTGCTCCTAGGTTTCAGCATGTGCTTCCTCTTATCCCTGTGTTTTGAGAGCTGGTGATCAATCTCCCATCTAGTTCTCCACCTCCCTGATATTAAAGAAAAGGGGGAGAGCTACAATTCTCTTCTAGAAGATGACATGAAGCTTTTCCATCTTTTGTACCTGTGGTCTCGTGTCACTTTCAAAGACTAAGTAGGAAGAAGATTCCAAATAGGTTTCTATGTAATTCTTAAAGCAAACTCAGACTTCATTGGTTGGAACATAATTCAGAGAGCCAGGTTTTATAACCTAAAAAGGAAATGTCTAATTCTTCATGAATTCTTCCTATTCCCCACAATTTTTGTTAAAATTTTTTCTGCCCAGAAAAATTGACAGAATATAATACAATGAGAACACTCATTGTACATTCCTTGTCCATACAACTACTGTTAGCATTTTTCACATTTGCTTTATCTTGCTCTTTATTGACTGGTTGACTGATTGATGAGCCATTTGAAAGTAAATTGCAATATAACACTTCATTTGTAAGTACTCCTAAGGATAAGGATTGTCTCATATAATTGTAAGACCATTTTCACACCTAAGAAAATTTGTTTCTAGATAATTTTCCTGCACTTTTCATAAGAAATCTCTTAAATATGGACAGATCTAAAATTGTTTTTCATACAGCCAGTACATAAAGTTTAGATTCAGTTCTTTAAAACTGTAATGTTGACTGTCTTATTAATGCAGTACTTTTATGCTTACTTACAGGTAAACAGGAATGTAAAAGTTCTACTGATGTCAGTAGGAATTTTTCATGAGAGATGAATTTTTATAATCTGTTCAACATTAAGCATGTCTGTGCATTATTAAGCACGTCTATGCATTCTCTATCACAGGCCCTTGGAGTTCACTCCCTGTATTTACTTACTTAACAGAATTCCAGTGAAGAACAAAGCAGATTAGTTAAGTGGGTGGCAGTATGGTGGTGGTGGACATAGAATTTAGGTTAAATAAACCCTCATTTGTAAATAAAACTCATTCGTAAAAAAGGAAATTAAATTGTTTTGTGGGTTTTTTTAATGACATTGGCTGTTTTTATAGCTATAAACCTGCATGACGTCTTGCACATCAAACTACTTGTTGGATCTCAGATTGCGGCAGAGATGCGGGAAGCCATGTACAATCAGCTGGGTCTCACTGGCTGTGCTGGAGTAGCTTCCAATAAATTACTGGCAAAATTAGTTTCTGGCATCTTTAAACCAAATCAACAAACAGTCTTACTACCTGAAAGTTCTCAAGATCTCATTCATAGTTTGAAACACATAAAGGAAATGCCTGGTAAGACATATATTTGAAAAGTATATATTTTATTGTATTTTTTGAAAAATTATAGATATACTAGAGGCCCATTGCATGAAGAGATTCATGCAATAGGCCTTCCCTTCCCCTGGCTGCCGGCACCAATTTTCCTCCGGCTCCTGGGACCCAGGCCTTCGCTCTGGCCGGAGCCTTCAGTCTTCGCTGCTCAAGCCAGAGCCTTCAGTCTTCGCTCCGCTGCTTCGCGCCTGCATATGCAAATTAACCGCCATCTTTGTTGGGTTAATTTGCATACTCTCCTGATTGGCTGGTGAGTGTAGCAGAGGGATGGTCAATTTACATGTTTGTCTATTATTACTAGGTAAGATGTAGTTAATTCTTAGAGCCTATGGAGAAAACCAAACAAGCTAATGTTCTTTGGAGGACATCTGTATTAGGAAATATATAAATGTACTTTTCTAGTTTCACCTACTTTTGTATAGTTTGAATATGATCATGAAAGCTATAACCTGGAAGTGTATAGTCCTTTATTTCCAATCCCTGGTTCATATCTTATACTGTACATTGCATCTAAAGAGGTCTTTTACTAACTCTATGTGAGGAATATCAATATATATAAAAGGCTAAGTGTCCATCCATCCGACTGGTAGCTATGACATGCACTGACCACCAGGGGGCAGACGCTCAGTGCAGGAGCTGCCATGACACGCACTGGCCATTTAAAATTAAATAGCACCACGGAACTGGCACTGACAAACACTCAGCTTCCCCCATGTGGGACACAGGCCCCACCACCATCCTGGAGTGACACCCCACCAAATCGCAGCCAATGCTGCCAAGACCCCATGGTGCAAAATGCGGCCCACAGCCCACTCCAGCCCAGAAACGGTTGGGGAATGACATCACGTAGCAACACCCAGTTTCCTCTCCCTAGCGACTAGCCTCCTTGGAGTTTTTTCAGCACAGGAACCTAACTTGCTTTATAGCCAGGTACAAACATTTTACAATTCAACCAAATGTTTATGAAGCGTTTTCACGTGCCTCATCTCATTTGATTCTCACAGAAGTCCTGGAGTAGGTAGATAGGAGACTCGGTGGAATCCTATTTTCAGTAGCTGGAAAACGGAGATTTAGAAAGTTTAGAAACTTGACCTGACTGAAAAGAAGAAAGAAATGGTGGAACTTAAAAATGACTTCAGGTTTTCTCACTGTGTAGAATATAGTCAAACACTGCTGCAGCTAAATATTTTACCTTTTGTTCCACCTGCATGATCTACAATAATCTGCTTCATGTTGATATTTACTGCTGTGTTGCTGACAATTACCTGAAAGAGAAGTTGGGGTGCTTTACGGGGCTGGAAAAAGTTTAATTAAGCAAGTTTGTTCTCTGTATATAAAAGGCTAAGTTGACTCACATGTGTGATATATATAAAGCTCTCATTGGCACCAATCGCACACGTGTTTCAATCTGTCATTGTCAATTGTGAATTTGGTTGACACTTCTATTATAGAGAAAGGGCAAATAGTGTTACTAAAATATTCTACTTAATTTCCTTTCAGTGTGCACAAATCTGTGCACCGGGTCACTAGCATATAAAATGTTAGACTACAAGGGACCTTCCAAAGATTTAAGCAAAGTTTTTATTTTAAAGATGAGGAAATTGATTTTTTGAAGGGTTCGGTGATCTATTCAGGTCTTGGGGCAAGTTTGTACCCTTGAAGATCAAATATTTAGGTTTTCATAGACCATCAATAATGGGTATGTTAAATTTCATTGCTGGGGACAAAGATGTTATAATAGAATTCTATGGAAGTGAATTTCTAAGACAACTGAAACTTAATCTTTAGATTTCTTCACATATTTAACCTGTGTTTATGTGATTTCAAAATGTGTTACTCACTGCCTTGCCTTAAGTATTACAATTGTTAACTTTTTGGATGAATCTGAGTCTGTGTTTTGAAGAACAATTACTATGTCAGGTTGTAATACATTGAGGATTGTATACTGATACTTAACGCTATTACTCAGCTTTGCTCTTTGAATTCTTGTATTTATTTTAAATAGGCATTCTCTTTTCTTCCTTATTGCCAACTAGCCCATTCTCTTTTATTTCAGCTTTGAAAATATCTGTCACTCCACTTTAATAATATCCTCTACACACCATTGCTTTTTATTTACTTCTTTTACTGTTCAAAAAAACCAGCTAACTGAAGAATTAATTTTATGTAAATGAGAGGAGGTAAAGGGGCACTAAATTGCCTGAACACTTTTTCTGTGATAAAATATGACTGAGTTTTCCTGCAAAAAACTGTATGATAGGAGTTTTGCCAATGAGAATTTTTTGTTTGTTTGTTTTCTGGCTCTTAATTATATGCGGATGGTAAATATTGCCAGATATGACTTGTAGATAAGTATTTGGTGTGTGTATAGAAATCAGTTAGATTAACTAATAAGCACATGCTAATTTTAATTGCTCTGATGACAGTTTATCTTTATGTGAAAAATCACCATGATCCTTGAAAACTTCCACAGTGGTATATAACAGGTGGTAAAAATCTCATTTTATCAAGACTGAATTTATTGGTTCTCTCTGTATTCATTATATTATATTAAATATATTAGGGCTGTTAGGTTTTCAAAGTGGTTCAGGCCCTGAGCAGAAGAAGAGCAATCTAATTTTTAATGAACTTTGATCTTAGCAAAATATTCGCTATGGAATTTAAAGATATGCTTGCTATAAGAATGATAATATTTTAATTAGCTTTATTTTAAGGAGAAAAGCTATTGTAACACCCTCTGCGTTTCTTTTTGTTTAGGTATTGGCTATAAAACTGCCAAACGCCTGGAAGCACTGGGTATCAGTAGTGTGCATGATCTTCAGACCTTTTCATCCAAAATATTAGAAAAGGAATTAGGAATTTCCATTGCTCAGCGTATCCAGAAGCTCAGTTTTGGAGAAGATAACTCTCCTGTAACACCCTCAGGACCACCTCAGGTGCATAATGACATTTTACTTGAGTACTTACTGGTTGTCACATTATTTGAGAAAAATTTCTAGTTTATTGCTGTTTTTACTAATCTAGTTTGTTAGGTCAGTACATGATCCCTTTCCTGTGAGGAAACTAATTTATTATAATATATTAATAAATATTCTTAAATTGAATTTAAGAATTAGTATTTCAATCTCAAGTTAGCCAATAGCCTATCTATATATATATATAAAACCTGAGTGACCGAACGACCGGTTGACCAGTCATGACGTGCACTGACCACCAGAGGGCAGACGCTCAACACAGCTGCCCCCTGGTGGTCAGTGCGTTCCCACAGCGGGAGCGCTACTCAGCTGACCAACGGGTGCCAGGCAGAGGGCTCACAGCTGGCAAGCACAGCTGCGGCAATGTAAGCCTCTCCCGCCTCCATGCAGTAGAGCAGCAGCTGCAGGCGCAGTGGGGCTGAGATGAGCGGAGGCTCATCGGGCTCCTTGGCTGCCTGCCGCTTTGCACACTACTGCATCCCTCAGGGGATGTTGGATTGCCGGTTTGGCCTGTGGGGATTGGGCCAAAACTGGCAGTCAGACATACCTTGAGGGATCCCAGATTGCGAGAGGGCGCAGGCCAGGCTGAGGGACCCCCCTGGTGCACGAACCTGTGCACTGGGCCTCTAGTATTACATATATGAGGCAAAATGTTTTAATTTTTTAAAAAGTCTTGGTTTTAGAGAAGTCTAATGATTTAGGAGATGGAGAAAAGTTTAATTACCTAGTTCATATTGATTGATTATCTTTTATGTGACAGGCACTTCTTTATGTACATTAGCCCATTTAATTTTCACAAACCTTTAAGGTAGATAGTTCTATTGTTTGTTTATAAACTTTTCCTCTCTTTCTCTCCCTCCCTAGTTTTTTGTGTTTTTTTTTTGTTTGTTTGTTTTTAAGATGAAGGTACTGTAGGTTAGAAAAGTTAAATAACTTGCCCAAGGTTAAATTCAAGTTTTAGGAGAGTAAGAGCCTCGGTGCAATCGTACAGTAAAGCTTGGAGTTGCTACTAGAGCTTTACAATTTTCTTGACGTCCAGTGCACTTTCTAGTGAAGTATGAAAACTTGCAGACAAAAACAAGTTAGTATGAAAGTGAACTAAATGGCTCAAACTAAGCACTAGAGGTAAGTTAGTCAAGGCTGTGTTGGTTTACCTGACATATACACTGGTAATTGTATATGCTTATTTGGTGTACAGTAATCCTTATTTGTGCTTTTTTGGTAGTCCTTTAGTGAAGAAGATTCACTTAAAAAATGTTCATCAGAAGTTGAAGCTAAAAGTAAGATCCGAGAGTTACTTGCTAGTCTTTTGAAGAGGTGATTTTCCATTTTGCCATATCCTGTATATTCTATACTGGAAAGAATACTTGATGTTGTATCTTGGAATTTACAGATTACCTGGAGACTAATCATTATAACAATAGATCATTTATCACTGAATTTCTCTACTTTATAAGCTATTGCAAAGGTAGTAACAGATGCTCTTAAATAAATTTAATCCATCTAGTTCCATTGGTTTTTAGTAACATTGTGGTTATATTGTGGATCTTAAGCTGCTGGTAGTTACCTAAAGGGGTTTTATCTGTTCTTCTAGAATTCCTGCACCTCTAAATTTGTAATGGGTGAGGATAGGTAGTTATTAAGAGCAACAACGATAAAGCAGAAGAACCCTTATGTCTCCTTAGCCTTACTCTGTGTGAAAGAAAATGGAGTCAGACAAAAGCATAGCTAACTGGGGCTGTGCGTGAGCAGTGAGAGTGAATGTGAGTGTGTGCAGGCTTCTTGTCTGTAAGTACATGAAGAGTGTCCACTGGGACTGTGAGTATACAAGTTGCCTAGCATAAGCAGAACAAGACATGCACCTATCTGACACGCTCCTTTGCCATCATATATCTATTCCAATACTCTGTAGGAGAGTATTGTCTCTGTTCCTCTCATTTCTTTGATTTCTCAAAATGGGGTGTCACGGTCTAACAGTTTTGGATAGGTAGGTGTGCTTCTCTAATGTCTGGATGACTGACTGACTAGAGAAAAAGGTTTTTGGATGAGTCTAAGTAGCAGAAACGGATGAAGTGAAATTTCCTGCAACTTTGCTGTCACATGCAGTGTGGTTCTCATGTTGTGAGCAAAGCTATGCAGCTCACCATTTGCTGCATGCAAGTGGGGCTGCCAATGACCCAGCTCCAGTGATATGACTCATGCTGGGCCCGTGAATATGCTTGTGAAAGTGGGTCGTCTGCTTTGCTTCAACTAAATAGAAGACTACTATGAAAAGCCTGCCATTAGAAATAGTTCCACACATAGAAAAACCACAAGAATTACAACTTTTATAGGTTCTCTTATTTAAAGAATCAACCCAGAAATGAGTCTAGGTGCTGTAAGCCTGTGCGATACCAACTATTAACCATTTATCCTTATCTCTGCTTGCCATTCTCTCTTCTCTACCATGGCTCCTTATTTCAGTGATTGAGTGTAATACCTTTTAAGTGACTGGCAAAAAATAATCGTGTGTGAATGTATTTTTCTTCTTGAGTATATGTAGATATGTAAGAGGTATAAAATCATCTAATTTTTAATCCAATTTCTAGGCAATAGTTCAAGATTGCTTAGAATGTAACCTTTTTATAATATGTCTTAATTAGTTATAGGAATCAAATCATTGTCTTTTAATTGCATATAGACTTATTAGAACAAGTTTAACTGGAAAATATTTAAATTAGTAATATGTTTACAGAAACTAAGATATTTATTATTTTAGTAAAGCAGCAATCAAGATATTTTGTGGCCGAAACCGGTTTGGCTCAGTGGATAGAGCGTCGGCCTGCGGACTGAAAGGTCCCAGGTTCGATTCCGGTCAAGGGCATGTACCTGAGTTGCGGGCATATCCCCAGTGGGGAGTGTGCAGGAGGCAGCTGATCGATGTTTCTCTCTCATTGATGTTTCTAACTCTCTATCTCTCTCCCTTCCTCTCTGTAAAAAAATCAATAAAATATATTTAAAAAAAAAAAAGATATTTTGTGATAAATAAAAGAAAAATTATTTATTACAGAAATCTAAATTTTCTAATTCAAAATATTTAATTTGAGTATATTTAACAGTGTAAAATATTTGTATTTTGTACTTGATTTTTAATTCATTGCCATACAGATAAAAAGGAAAATGTTATTCTTTAATGACATGTATTTTCTCTAATTAGATTTTTCTATTCTTTAAGTGAATTTTCTATCTATATCATTAAAACCTTTGTTTTAGTGTTCCATCCAAAACCAAGACCGTTTGTATGGAACACTAATTTTTAAAAAAATTTTGTATTTATTGATTTTAAAGAGAAAGGGGTGGGGGGAGAAGGAGAAACATTGATTTGTTCCACTTATATATGTATTCAGTGGTTGATTCTTGTATGTGCCCTGATGGGGCATTAAACCTTAAACCTTGATGTATTAGGAGGATGATCTAACCAACTGAGCTACCTGGCCAGGGCTGGATGGAACACTCTTTAGGATGCATGTACATGTACTTCCTAAGTATAATATATCATTAATATTTCAAGTTATTGCTTAATGTGGAACATATTGGTGACATTATTATTGGCCCTCTTGGATCTATTTGGGGAGTGCTCTTTGACAAATAATCTCATTAATTTTTTTCTTTTTGTGATCCTGTATTTTAAAATATGTGTAAAAATCTGTCACTTTTCATATATTTGTTTCTGTCAGTGAATGATTCTTTGTTTCTTTAATTTCCTGCTAATTTTAATATTTTGCTTTTGGTTATAATTTTGACTTGGATTATAAAATTGCTTGTTATAATTATGCCTTACTTCTGTTTTTTTTCTGATAACACTCAATTCTGAGTGAGGCCTGAGAGCCTTACACTTAACATTTCAGAGCATTAGTGTGTAGACTTTGTATAATTTATTTGGGCTAGTCTAGGATTTTTATTGCTTACTGCCTACTTATCAACTGTATAATTGTTTTAGTTACTAAATCTGTCATCTTTATATAAATTAACTTGACAATTTTTTAAAATCTTTAGGTAATATTTTTCAAATTGCTATTTCCCCTTTCTCTTTATTTTTAGAGTATGCCAAGATGGAAGGAAGCCACATACAATAAGATTAATAATCCGTCGGTATTCATCTGAGAAGCACTGTAGCCGTGAGAGTCGTCAGTGCTCTATTCCATCCCACATAATTCAGAAGTTAGGGACAGGTATGGGCTAATTTCCTAAAAATTTAATTAGACTCTTAAAAGAGCAAATTTTGAATTCGAAATATCCATAGATAGAGGATTTTCACAGGGGGTTAGTGAGCTATTTAAACTCTTTATCAGAAATTTTCACTAGAAAACTTTGTTGTTGTTTAATAGATTATAAAAGTAAAGACTCAGTTAAGAATGCTTCCCAAGTTCAGAAAAAACCAGACTGTTGTAATTATATGGCATGAGATAACTTCTTTTTGAGCACTTAGATTGTTTCCAATTTTTTTGGCTATTATGAAAAATGATGCTGGCGAGTCATTGGGTGGGTATATACTTTTATTTAAACTGCTGGGTTTTATGGTAAGTTGAACTCTAAGACACTGCTAAATTTTTTCCAAAGTGGGTGTAACAGTTTACATTCCCATCAGCAGTGTATGAGCATTCCAGTTTTTTCAGAGTCTCATTGACAATTAGTATTATCAGTTTCTTTTATGATAGTCACACTTAAGGCTGTGTAGTGGTATTTCATTGTGCTTGTGTTTTCTTTTATGAATAGTGCTTTTAGTGTTATATCTAAAAGTTATTTGCCTAAGTCAAAGGTCACAGGTATTTCTATGTTTTCTTTTAGAAATTTTAAAGTTTTGAGCTTTAAACTTAGATCCACTTTGAGTAATTTTTATGTGTGGTATAAGGTAAGGGTCTGAGTTCATTCTTTTGCATGTAGGTATCCATTTGTTCCAGCAGAATTTGTTGAAAAGACTATTCTTTCCCTGGTGAACTGTCATTACACCTTTGTAAAAAACTAAACATGTTGTAGAAATGTATTTCTTGATGTTCTTATTCTGTTGATCTACATGTTTATCCTTTTACCAGTTCTACCCTATCTTGATTCTTTCTTGAAATTAGGTAGTGTAACTTCTCCAGCTTTAATTTTTTCTAAATTGTTTTGGGTATTCATGGTCCTGGGCTTTTGTTTGTAGAAAGATCTTAAAGTAGAAATTTGATTTGTTAAGTGTTTATCCAGATTTTCTATTTATTTTGAGTCTGTTTTAGTAATCTGTGTCTTTTAGAAATATATGCATTTCATCATAGTTGTCTAATTTGTTGTCATGAAGTTGTTAATATCCCCTTATAATTCTTTTAATTTTTGTGAAGTCTGTAGTGAGGTTCCTCTTTCATTCCTGATTTGGGTAATTTATGTATTCTCTTTTTTCCTTTGTAATTTTAGCAAAGGTTTGTCAATTTTGATCTTTTTTAAAACCCAACTTTTGTCATTGTTTTCTCTGTTTTTATTCTTTCTATTTTATTTATTTCAACTTTGTTGTTTTCTTCTTTCTGCTTGCTTTAGGTGTTTTTTGTTTTTTTTTCAAAGAATCGCTTATTGATTTCTGAGGGAGATGAAGGGAGAAGAGAGAAACATCGATGTGAGAGCATAACACAGGGGGATATTTTTTGATATCATTACTACCTTAATCAAATATTACATATTTCAACTCTTTTGGAAACTTTTACTCATTTGGCAGTTAGTTGTAATGTTGAGATGTCCTAGTTTCCACATATACTGTCAAAATGTCCCAATGATATCTATTTAGGATTTTAATTTAATTATATTAAACTCTTAATGTTAATTATTTTACAATGTGTTTAGATACTGTCTTCTTAAACATTTTATTTAGGAAGTTATGATGTGATGACGCCAATGCTTGACATACTTATGAAACTTTTTCGAAGCATGGTGAATGTGAAGATGCCATTTCATCTTACCCTTTTAAGTGTGTGCTTCTGCAACCTTAAATCACTAAATACTACTAAGAAAGGGACTATTGATTATTATTTAACACCATCATTATCAACAACTTCATGCTCTGGCAAGCGCAGTTTTGTAAGTACACTGTTATTGGATTTGTGTTATTAAATTACAGGTCTCAGTTTGTGTTTAACGGATATAATTTAGAGTTTCTTTGGGGTTATATTTTTTTGAGTGACTTACATGTATATATAATACCTATCATATTATATCTATCATATTATATGTTGCTACTCATAAGTATACAGTATTATGATTAAGAAGAAAACATAAGCATCACTGGGTAAAAAAGAAAACCATTATAGAGATTCCCTGTTTTGGAAGTATTGAAACATTTTATAACAATATATAGGAATATGATGATTAGCTCATACATATGAAAATATTTTTAGATACTAGAAATCAAATTATTTTGTCTGTTAATTTATACATAAGCTACCAGCACCCCCCTCAGTGTTTTGTTAAAGCATTTAAGTTTTCTTGGTTTTGACGTTAAATTGAATTCTGATAGCAATATTGATAGAATATGACTGCTAATTTTATAACTGTAGAAATAAGAGGTTGGCAGTAGAGAGGCAAAGGCCAGTCATATTTTCAGATGACTAAAACAAATCCCTGTGTATGGCCCTTTAGCAAACCTGTATTTACTAAATGTGGGCTTCTTTAAAAAATAATCGTCTTTTACTAAATTGTCTAGATCTACAATTCTTAACTTAAAGTGTTTTTATTATTTTCTTTATTTATTAGTTAGTATAATTTTAGTAATATTTTATTTACATATAAGTTTAAAATGAGCATAGAGTAGTGTTACAGAAATAATGAATTAGTGCCCTCTTCAAATTACTATTTTTCTCTGACCAATTTTATTCCGTCTATTAACTGAAATTTTAAAAGGTGCTGACTTTTTGCTTTGTAATCTGTAAAATGAGAATTAATTTACAGTGGTATTAGAGTGGCAAATATAAGTGAAAGCACCTTGTGTGTGTCTGGCAATGGCCCAAATCTCTTCTTCTTTTATTTTGAACTTATTGTGTTGATGAATTATATTTGACTGTGTATACATTTTTATGGTGCTTAAAATTTTAAGTGAAAAATTTTACGTAAACTATGCAAATTAGAATTGAAGGCGTTTTTAAATTTTTATTTCATGAATATATAAAAGGGCTAGTAAAGGGTTAAGGGCGTCAGATATATGGTGAAGGAAGATTTGACTTTGGGTGGTGGGTATACAATACAAAATACAAATCATGTATTATAGAATTGTACACTTGAAACCTATATAATCTTATTAACCAGTGTCACCCCAATAAATTTAATTTTTTGAAACATGTTATCTAATCTAATAAAGAGAAACATGCAAATTGACTGCACCTCTGCTATGCCCAAGCCACACCCACCAGCCAATCAGAGTGACTATATGCAAATTAACCCAACCAAGATGGCCGCAGGCAGCCACGGAGCTGGAGCAAGCAGGAGGCTTGGTTGCCTTGGCGATGGAGGAAGCCAAGCTTCCCGCCTGCCCTGGCTGGCTGTGGCCTCTGCTCAAGGCAACAGTTTCAATTATAGAAGACAAATAAATCTCAGATACCTGCTTCCAGCCAGCCTCCACTGGGAGCTTGGGTGGCTGGGGGCTGTGGCCAGCCTGCAAACAGCCATCAGCTCCTCACCCAGGATGGCCACACATTCATGGGGTGTGGGTCCCCACTAGGGGGCTTGGCCAGCTTGCAAACAGCCATCAGCCCCTCACCCAGGCTGGCCAGGCACTCCTCCGGGGACCCCCACCCTGAAGGGGGTGTGGCCAGTCTGAAAATGACCCTCAGCTCCTCACCCAGGCTGGCTAGGCACCCCAGCGGGACCCCCACCCTGATCCGGGACACCCTTTGGGCCAAACCAGCCAGCCCCCACCCATGCACCAGGCCTCTGTCCTATATAATAAAAGGGTAATATGCAAATTGACCCTAACAGCAGAACCACTGGGAATGACTGGTCACTATGACACACACTGACCACCAGGGGGCAGACGCTCAATGCAGGAGCTGCCCCCTGGTGGTCAGTGCTCTCCCACAGGGGGAGCTCTGCTCAGCCACAAGCCAGGCTGATGGCTGCCAGTACAGCAGTGGTGGTGGGAGCCTCTCCTGCCTCCTCAGCAGCGCTAAGGATGTCCAACTGCAGCTTAGGCCTGTTCCCCGCTGGCTAGTGGACACCCCCCAAGGGCTCCCAGGCTGCCAGAAGGATGTCTGACTGCCAGCTTAGGCCCAATCCCCCAGGGAGCGGGCCTAAGCCAGCAGGTGGACATCCCCTGAGGGGTCCCAGACTGCGAGAGGGCACAGGCCGGGCTGAGGCACCCCCCCGAGTGCACAAATTTTTGTGCACCGGGCCTCTAGTATCTTAATAATGATGTTGGATTTTCACCATGGGAGTATATATTTTTCCTTTCCATTCAATGTTACAGTTTAGAATAGGGATGTTCTATGCATATGTATAAATATTTATAAATATATATTTATACATATATACTTAAATATTTAGCTATCCCTTGGAGAATCACTTACTTTTTTAGGCCATCATTCCTTTATTCACAAACCTGGAAGTTTGAATTTACAGTTGTTAAGATCCCTTCCAGGCCTATAAATGCATGCCTACCTTCTGGCTCAGTGCTATCTATGAAGTAAACCTCTTCCTGGAATAGTGAGTAAAGATGCACACAATAGTGTGACTAATTGCGGTGGATTAGTCACCTCTAGTTGTTGGGAGCTGACCCAAAGGGTTGAAGTTATTGAGTAGGATAGAAACACGATGGTCAGATAATAAGGTATATTCATGAATATTTAAAGAGATATCTAAATTATTGTGCTATCCTTGTGTTCTAGAAAATGAAAGATACTCAAATGGAGGATTTTTCGAAAGACAAAAAAACAAATTGGGATTTTCTACCAACTGGAAGAATTGAAAGTCCAAGAACTGGGGAGTCTCCACTAAGTTTTTCTAAAGATCAAAACAGTGATGATTTCCCACTCTGCTCACTTCCTGAGGGTATTGACCAAGAAGTCTTTAAACAGCTTCCAGTACATATTCAAGAAGAAATCCTGTCTGGAAAATCTAGAGAAAAAGTTCAAGGGAAAGGAAGTTTGAGTTCTCCATTACAGGCCTCTAGAGGAATATTATCTTTCTTTTCTACAAAACAAATGCAAGATAGTCCCTTAAATCCTAGAGATAATTTATCTAATAGCAAACAGATATCCTCATTGTCTCCCTGTGAACCAGGAACCTCAGGCTTAAATAACAGTTCCTCTTACCTGTCCAGCCAAAAGGATTATTCACATTATTTAAACAGTAGCTTAAAAGATGAACGAATGAGTCAAGGACCTAAAAAGTCTCAAGGATTCCACTTTTCAAATACAAACCCCACTGTACCTGTTTTTCATTCATTTCCAAATTTGCAGAGTGAGCAACTTTTCTCCAAAAACCGCACTACAGATAGCCATAAGCACCCGACAGCTGCGGCGTCTCATTATGAAGGACTTGCAGAAAATAGAGAGCAAGATTCTACTGCTGAGAAAATTACTTTTCCTTCTGATGTTGATCCTAAAGTTTTCTATGAACTTCCAGAAGAGGTACAAAAAGAACTGTTGGCTGATTGGAAGAGAACAGGATCAGATTTCCACGATGTACATAAATAAGCATGTTCAGAAAAAGTCTAAAAAACAAGGGGAAGATCATTGTTCTCAGATTAGCAGTTTATTAAGCTCGTCTAAATGAAACACTAATCGATATTTAATAATGTCACAATCCAATATAAAATGTTCTAAAGCAAGAATAGTTATGGGAAGTAAATTCTGACACAAAATATAAAAAACTCATAATAGGAGAAATAATGTAAAACATTACCTTATTTCTAAAACTATTTTATATTGCTTTTCAATAAAAATATATCTTAGCATTAGTTCATGTCCCATAAAATGAGGGGAAAGATATACTGTATATGCCTGCATATAAAAAATAGACTGGCCAAATCATTGCTATGCCATAGCAAATAACTTTTTCTATGAAATGTGGAATATTTCAAGAAATTTAGCCCATTAAGAAACAGCCAAGCCCGGCTGGTGTTGCTCAGTGGTTGAGCATCAACCTATTAACCAGGAGGTCATGGTTTGATTCCCAGTCAGGGCACATGCCCAGGTTGCCAGCTCGATCCCCAGTAGGGGGCATGCAAGAGGCAGCAGATCAGTGATTCTCACTCATCATTGATGTTTCTATTTCTCCCTCTCCCTTCCTCTCTGATATGAATAAAAATATATATTTTTTAAAAATTAACCAAATAAATTCTGCCAACTCACCTGTTAAAAATGTAGATATCTTTGAAGTACTATGTACCATTTATTAAGTTAATTTTTTTAAATAGGAAAGTGATACAAATTCAATTAATGCCTCTTATTACACCTGGAACCTACCACAATGCCTGACACACAGAGGGCATTCAATGACTATTGAATAAAGGGGTGAGGAGTGGGCAGGCAAGTGACTATACAAGTAGAGAACTAGAAGGAACTTTCCATGCAGAAAGATGAAAAGAAGGACAGACACTAGAAGTGCAAGGTAGAGTGGGTCTATAAGGGTGCTAGGTAGTGAAAGAGGTCCATTTCCTCTGACCAGTCTGTAGGGTCTACAAGCAGTGATTATGTTTTTGCATCTCTACATTTTGTAGATGAGACTAAGAATGTCATATCCACAACAAATATACAGTCACTAAAGTGATGGATGTCCTCTTTCTCCTGTTGTTATTGCCTTCACCTTTTACTGCCAGATTAAAAATTGGATATAAGGTTGTGGACACCTTTAATTTGTAAGAGAATGTTTCTAGAACACACCGGAGCGCTGTTGGAGGAGTCCTATTTATAACCTTCGCAGATATAAAGAAAAGACGATAAAAATAAAGTACAAAAATGTGAGTAAAGGGTGGCTTAAAAATATTTCCTAGGTAAGAAGTTTGAACTAAGTTTCAGATTCCTTGAAATTTGAAAATTTCCTAATCACCAAGGATTTTTAAGAGGGAGTTTGGGATTATCAAAAGCAATAACTTGTAGCAAGAACATCAGAACTTATTCACCACACAAATAACTATAGGTGTTTCTACATGTAGTTTTCTGATAAGGTAGTTAAACTTATAAATGGAGTTTATTACTTTTTTAGATAATCTATTTTTCAAAAAGTTCTAATCTTTGTAATCATTTCAGCCAGAAAACAGCGTCCGACTTTTTAAGTTATCTTTTATCTTTGTTTGCTTTTAATGAAATAATATTTATTTAGTGTTAGATTATCTATATATATATAAGCCTAATATGCAAATTGTCCCCACAGGAGTTCAACCAGGAGACCGATTGCTCACTATAATGTGCACTGACCACCAGGGGGTGGCACAGAACGAAGGAAGGCCCCAGCCGGCAGCTGGAAGGCCCTGATTGGCCCTAATCACCTGCCAGGCCTACATAATCGCCTGCCAGGCCTACAGACCCTACCTGTGCACGAATTTCATGCACTGGGCCTCTAGTTTATAATATTTGGAAGTATGAATTTATTTTTATTTATTTTTGATATATACTGATATCCTGTATCTTTCATGTTCTCTAAAATTCTTAGCCACTAGCCCTTCAAAGATCGCTTTACTATTCTGGGACTCTTGATTGCACAATGATGGACATTCTTTTTTTTTTTCTTAATTTGATTTTATTGTTTAAAGTATTACAAATAGTAGTACATATGTCTCCTTTTTTTCCCCATTGACCTTCCCCCGACCACCCCTACCCCCGCCCCCCGGGCACATGCCCTCACACCCCCCCACCCAGTGTCTTGCATCCATTGGTTATGCTTATATGCATGCATACAAGCATATAAGCTTGTATATTTTCAGTTGATCTCTTACCTCCCCCCCAACTCTCCCCAGCCTTCCTGCTGTAGTTTGACAGTCTGTTTCATGCTTCTCTGCCTCTGTATCTATCTTTTTGTTCATGAGGTTACAATGTTCTTTGTTATCCATAAGTGAGGGAGATCATGTGGTGTTTTTCTTTCACTGACTGGCTTATTTCACTTAGCACAATGCTCTCCAGTTCAATGTTGGACATTCTTACTCTACCTTTCATGTCCCTTAATCTCTACTTCTTTTCATTATCTTGTTTATCTGCTGCAATTTGGCTAATTTCATCAGTTCTTATGTTCACTGATTTGTTTTTCAGTGGTGTCTGATCTGTTTAAAACACTATAAGAATGGTTTTAATTTTAATATATTTTTCATTTGATTCTTTTTCTACCTGTTTATTCATTATAGTCTCGTTAAAAAAACACACAAAACCTTAAGTATTTTATACTAGAGGCCCGATGCACAAATTCGATCCAGCCGAAACCCGCAGTCCAACGGTGCCTGCAGCTCCTATCTGTCACTCCTTCTCATCCCAGCCCCACTGTACCTGCTGCGATCGATCAGAAGAGGCTCGCGCTGCTGTAGCAGCACTCACCAGCCATGAGCCCTGCATCTGGCGCCCTCCCAAGGGGAGTGGCCTGCAGGATTGGGCTGAAACTGGCTCTCCGACATCCCTCGAGGGGTCCCAGATTGGGAGAGGGCACAGGCCAGGCTGATGGACCCCACAGGTGCACAATCAAGTGGGCCAGGGATCAGGCCAGGGAGGGACTGCAGGAGGGCTCCAGGGTATGTCCGGCCCATCTCACTCAGTCCTGATCAGCCATACCCCAACAGCAAGCTAACCTACTAGTCAGAGCATCTGCCCCCTGGTGGTCAGTGCACGTCATAGCAACTGGTAGATCAATTGACTTTCTGCCCCCTGATGGTCAGTGCACATCATAGGAAGTGGTAGAGCACCCTTAGCATATCATTAGCATATTACACTTTGATTGGCTCGATTGTTCTGCCATTTGGCCTATTTGCATATTACCCTTTTATTATGTAGGATTCTATTTCTGATTACTTCAATACTATTAAATTTTTATAAGTTTAAACTTTCTGATATTGATGTGTACCATTTTGGCTTATTTCCTTACGGGTGTGAGTCAACCTAAACTGTGGGAAGACAAAGGACCTAAATTGTGGGTGCTTCCCTTCAGAGATGATTTGCATTTGCTTCCGGCGAGGCAGTGCCAATCCACTGGCACCACTATAATCCCTTCTAGGTTCTGACTGAATATAGTTGTCTTTATTTGAGCCACCTGACCTTGCTACTGTCTTAAGGTTTTTCTCTCCAGAGGTCATTTGCAGGCCATTTGCTTTTAGGATAAAATCTACCTTCCAGGCTTCTTGCCTGATGCTTCCTGTTCCTTTCCTGCTTTTGTTTCAGCTCTTCTCCCCCCGCTCTCCCCCCCACCCCCCACCCCCGTGTTGTAAGGGTAGAGAGATAGGGCTTTTCTCTTATATAGTAAAACCAAGCAATGATTACAAAGTCTGTTTTTTGTTGTTTTTTTTTTAAATATATTTTATTGATTTTTTACAGAGAGGAAGGGAGAGAGATAGTTAGAAACATCGATGAGAGAGAAACATCGATCAGCTGCCTCCTGCACATCTCCTACTGGGGATGTGCCCGCAACCCAGGTACATGCCCTTGACCGGAATCGAACCTGGGACCCTTCAGTCCGCAGGCCGACACTCTATCCACTGAGCCAAACCGGTTTCGGCCAAAGTCTGTTTTTTATGAAGTCTATCTGTCCCACCATAGTGCAGAAGTACAAGTATAATTGGATTTATTTTTCCACCTTATTTTTTACTGCCCATGTTTCCCTTGTTCTGTGCTATGCTTCTTTCCTATCCTTATTCCTTTTCTGTCTTTGGATTGGCTGTGTTTTCTACTTATTATGTTTTCCCTCTACTGATTTGAAATTTAATCATTCTAAGTACTTTGTATTACCTTTATAAATTTAACATCTAAAAATGGTAAATATCTATCTGTACCCTCTTTTCAAACATGAGGATGTTAAAATATATTAATTCTAATCAAATTCCTCCAGTTCTTTATTTAACCTACAAATTTGATATTGTTAGTATTTTATATAGTCAGTGTTTAGGTTTGCCCACGTTACTTAATTTTTTTGGCTCACCTTTTTTCTTGCATCTCAGACATTCCTTCAAAGTAGAATTGTTTTTACTTCCTGAAATTATGTCTTTAGAACTGTGGATTTAGAATTCATTTTTCTTGGGCTGTTTTAAAATACTCACTTTTATCTTTGCAGTTTTTATTGTGTGTCTACCTACTGATTTCTTTTGTTTTTTTTAATATATTTTATTGATTTTTTACAGAGAGGAAGGGAGAGGGATAGAGAGTTAGAAACATCGATGAGAGAGAAACATCGATCAGCTGCCTCCTGCACGCCCCCTACTGGGGATGTGCCCGCAGCCAACGTACACGCCCTTGACCAGAATCGAACCTGGGACCCTTGAGACTGCAGGCCGACGCTCTATCCATTGAGCCAAACCGGTTAGGGCGATTTCTTTTTATCGTGTTTTTAACATATAGCTCACTAATGCTCTGTTCATTTTGTTTTCAGTCGTTATTTCCCTTTGGATAGATTGTATTGCTCTGTCTTCAGGTTCACTAATTTTTCTTCCATAGTATCTCATCTGTTATTTCTATTCAGTGTAATTTTCATGTCAGACATTTTTTTTCTCTGGATACCTAATTGGGTTAATTTTTGTATCTTCTATGTTTCTATTTAATATGCTCAGTTTTTCTCTATCCTTGAATATATGGAATGTTAATCTTTTTAAAGTCTTTTTCTATAGCTCATTTGTGATTGTATTTCTATTGGTTTGTTTTTCTCTTTATTATGGGTCATATTTTTCTGCTCTATGCATGCTTGGTAATTTTTTAAATTGTATGAAAGGCATCGTGCATTTTTTTACTTTGTTGGATAATGATTGTTTCTGTTTTATCATAAATATTTACAAGTTGTGCTTTATAGCTTTATAAAGTTACTTTATTACGTGCAACCAAAGCAGCATTTGATCTAGGAAAAATATTACCTTACTACAGGGTAAAATCCTTCTGAAGACTTATTATGTCACCTGTGATTTGTGAGTTTTTTTTTACTCTGGCTGGTCATAGCATGAAATATGTCTGGTTCTAGGTGGGCTCAGGAGATTTTTCCCTTTGCACCTTTCAGCTGGTTCCTTCCCACACTTGGGTAATTCCTTGTACTAATCAGTACTCAGCTGGAGACTTGAGAGTTAGTCCTTGCAGCTCTCTGGGCAGCCTCTCTTGTCTCCGGTACTCTGCTCAGTTCACAGATTGGTAGGCTCTCTGGTTTCCCCCGCCCAAACTGTTCCCTAGAAACTCTCTTCAGATGAGTGAGCTAGGGCAATTATAGGGCCTTATGCACCGACGTTTAAAGAGTAAATTATTATTCTCTAAATGTTCCTTTCTATGACATCCTGTTCTTATTTCTTGGATATAACATTTTCTTATCTCTTTAAAGATGTTAGTGATAGGGTTTCCAAATATTTTCTTGAACTTGAGTTTGCTTTTATTTGTTTGAGTAAGAGTATGGGACTAAAAATTTGGAAGCTCTGGTAGTTTGGACAGGAGTTGTCAACTGTAAATTTCATGCAGGATGATCTGACTGGGCCATTTTGGGGGGAATTTCTGATGTCAGTAACAGTAGGTCTTTCTTTTTGGATGGGTTATGTTTCTCAAAGATGATGTTTGAGATAACCTATTTGGATTATGGATGTTCCTGTCTTGTGGGAACATGCCGGGGTC